CAGAGGGGTGGCTTGTTAGAGATGCTAGCTCTATAGAGAACCACCATGCCCAGGAGAAGTGGTCCCAGGACGACTCTCCCTACTGCCCCTCAGATGGAATCCACAACTACAGGCAGAACTGCCTGAGCCCAGTCTCCAAGCCAGAGCCACCCACCCTCAATGTGGGCAGCCAAGGCAGCAACCCCCCAACGTGCTCCCACCAGCCTGGGGGGCCCAGACAGCATCTAGTTGTCTTTAGGCCAACTCCTTCTCTGTGTCTTTTGCAGGCAGCCTCCTGATTCCTAACTTAATTTATTTTGACATCCTTGCTGCCTTTTGACCTCCTTACGGAGTCACATGGTGCTTAAAACTCATTATCCCCCCATTGAAACAGGAAGTTAATTAAACCCTTCACAGAGCCAGTGTTGATGAATGTCAGGATGGGCCCCTGATGCAGCTACCCAGAGGCCTTAGGCTGATCTGCAGAGCTGGGGGAGGGGTGGGGATGGGGGAGCTGAGTAAGGCCTGGCCCTGGGACAGACGGGCCCCCTTCTCCAACACAGCAACCAGTGTTCATTCTGGAGCAGAGGGTGTGGATTTCTTAGGGAGAATCCAGCTCTGCCACGTACTTGCTGTGTGGCCTTGGGCAAGTGACTTCACTTCTCTAAGCCTCAGTTTACTCATCTGGCAAATGGAAATTCTAACAGTCTTTCAAAGAGCCATTATAAGCAGATGGTGCATTGACCTGCCCAGCACAGGGCCTGGCACCGAGGAACCCCCCAGGACATTTCTCTCACGTCTGCTAGTGTTAGATGACAGAGCACTGAGTGCTGCGGAAAGGCCTCTGGTCCCCACAACTGGAGCAGAGAGGAAAGGCCGAGTCTTGTCTGGGAGCAGTCAGGGGCTTCCCTGAGGAAGGGAAGTGGGAGGGAAGTGCCAGGCGGTGGGAGAGAAGGATGCATGTGGCAGCAGGACCAGCTTTCACAAAGGCCCAGCCTGCAGGACACCTGGACTTTAGTACAAGGAGGTTCAGAAAATAGGGTAAGAGCAGGGCAGGCCAGGGCAGAGGTCATCACCAGCAGCGGGTCAGGAGTGGCTCTGGGGGACCAGTGGGGTGGGGACAGTGGTTAGGGTGGTGACTGAGGGAGGCTTGAAGCACGATGGGGTGGTGGTGATGTGCCAGGGGGCATTTGGGAGCTATGACGAGATGAAGTCGCAAACAGTGGAGGGACAGTGAAGCTCTTCGTGGGCCTGGTGTCCGGAGACCTTTCATCTAGCCTGGCCTGGGGACCTGCTCTGTGCCATAGACTGCTGTGGCCAGAATCATTTGAGACCCCACCCTCAGCCCTCCCTGCCTTTGCACCTACTCTTCCCACAGCTGAGAATGCTCGTCTCCCATGACTCTTTTTTGAGCATCCTCTTTATTCTTCAATGTCCATCTTAAGTTTGTAGAACATTCTGTGGCTTCCTTGGTCATAGCCCAACAATCAGTGCAGGGCCTGGCATGCAGGAGATGCCACAATTAGCTCCTTCCCCCACCCATAGCAACTGTCCAGCCATGGGCCACCCTCCTCTGGAATTAACCTGCCTGGGGTTACAGGAAACTGCCACTTCTGAGCTGGAGGACCACCCTGGGCCTTAGTGCCTTCATCACTGCCACAAGAGCCTTGAGCACTGTGTCCACGCCCAGCTCTGCCACTTTCTGCCTGGTGACCCTAATGGCTGTAACCAGCAGAGGGATGCACAAAGATTTCATGAAAGAATATGAACCAGCCCAAAGAAAGGGCTTAGAAATGTTCGTGACGGACAAAGGCATCACTCCTAGAGTGGGCGTCCAGAGCAGAGCCATGCTCAGGCCTTTTCTGGGACCAGACACCCTTGGATCCTCCTGGGAGGCCTCCAGGGAGCCTGCTATCAGCCTTGGAATCCAGTGAGCAGGGAACAGCCAGGCCTTGGCCAAGGCAGCCCTGCTCCATGCAAAGCCCCTCCCAACTTCACAGCAAGCATTGACAGCCCCCCATTGAGACTGAATGCAATTCTGTTTACTCCACTAATGACTTTTGGATGTGAATCCTGGCACTCCTCACAGTCACACAGGGACAGGTGGAAATTAGAGTTCACAGTGGGAGGCCCATGGGGATGGAGGTGGCCAGGTGAGACACCTTCAGCAGCCCTATGCCCGCTCCTCCTCCAGACAGCCTTCCCTGATTTCCCCAGGCAGAGGCAGTTGCTCCCACTCTGGACTCACCCAGGCCTTCCTTTCAACAACACTTTTTGTTCTTTTTTCCTCAATATAGCTCCATTATCAACAGACCTCCTCTGAGGGCACAGTAGTGTGTTCAAGGTCCTATGGCATCACCACTGATCACCGGCCAGGCAGTTTCCTCCTCTGTATAAAGGTACAGATAGCCCCTGCAGGGCAGGTTGAGAGAAAAAGCATAGAAGGAAAGTGCTCCAGAAACAGCTCTCACCTGGGTTTGGGCTGCTGTGGCACTTCATGGGCCTGTGCCCTGTGCAGATACATGAGGTCTCCAGTTCTTGGGAAGATCCTTCACTTGGTTTAACACTCTGCTGTTGCCGCCCTGAAATTCTTTTTTTTTTTTTTTTTTAATATATTTTATTGATTTTTCACAGAGAAGAAGAGAGAGGGATAGAGAGTTAGAAACATCGATGAGAGAGAATCATCGATCAGCTGCCTCTTGCACACCCCCAACTGGGGACGTGCCCGCAACCAAGGTACATGCCCTTGACTGGAATCGAACCTAGGACCTTTCAGTCCACAGGCTGACGCTTTATCCACTGAGCCAAACCGGTTTCAGTGCAGCCCTGAAATTATTTTTTTTTATATTTTATTTTTTTATTGATTTTATACAGAGAGGAAGAGAGATGTAGAGAGTTAGAAACATCGAGGAGAGAGACACATTGATCAGCTGCCTCTTGCACACCCCGTACTGGGGATGTGCCCACAACCAAGTTACATGCCCTTGACAGGAATCGAACCTGGGACCTTTCAGTCCCCAACCCGATGATCTACCCACCCTGAAATTCTTAATCTTTGAACAAGGGGCCCCACATTTTCATTTTGCATAGGGCCTCAAAAATGATGTAGCTAGTTCTGGCCAGCAGGTTCTGTTTCTCACCTGCCTCTGCTCCTAAGTCTCTGGGTGATTTGGATGTGTTTCTCCTCTTGGGGCCACAGTTTATGGGCAAAGAAGTGGCCAAAGTGATGCCTAGCTTCTCATCCTGCACCCTAGACAGATATCACTAATATGGCTCTTCCTCCTGCTGACCCTCAAGATCCTCCTTAACAGATCTCCAGCCATTTCAGCAGCACCAACCTGGGTGTGCATGGAGCCCCAGACACAACCCATAGCCACCTCCTCCAAGAATCCCTCTGACTCCCAAGTCTCCATCTTTGAGAAGGTAGTAAAGCCCAACGGGAAGCACAGATAGGTGGGGTGCCTCATTCAGTTGGCAAACACTATGGGAGCCTTGGGCTGAGTGAACCAGTCAGCCATGGATCCTGAGCTCCTCAGTGAGGGGGTACAGCACCAGGCAGCTGTAGGAAGGCTATACCCACTGGCTCTGGGTAGGAATCTGTGTGACCCTGGGCAAGTCTCTTGGCCTCCTAGCCTTAGAGTTTCTGTCTGTCCAGTGGCAGTGAGTGGTCTCAGGGTGGACCTCAGCCTCCTGCCCTGCCTGTCACTCTGCTGCCCAAAGACCCCCTGAGAGTAGTGACAGGGCAGGCTCCAGGGATAACCCTTCTCCTTACTCATGGAGTGGGGGCAAAGGTAACAGAAGTCAGAATGATGTGGGGGTCTCACAGGCAGGGGGCTCAGCATTCAGCCAGCCTTGGCATGTGACAGTGGTGATGATTATCTGCCACTAAGTGGGTGGGGCTCTTTAGAAAAGTCTTCCTGGTAGCCCTGGGGCCCTACTAATTCCCTATTTCTTATGAATATGAGTGAGAGGGGCTAGGCATCTTAATTCAGGCCAAGAACATTAAAATATAAGAATACAATTGTGCTCCTGTTGGGCAATCCTAATGTTGTGTGACCTTGAGCAAGGCTCACTGGAAATGGGGGCCTCTGGGATCCCATAAACATATCCCAAAGGACAAGAGGGTCATCTCTATTTCCAGGATTGGAGCAGACAGTACTGACCCTGGGACCCTCGCTCCTTTCCGATTGCCCAGGAGGGAGGGACGCAGAGATTCGCTCAACCGGCTGAGAGGCCGGCTTCCTGGGCCTCCATCAGGGCGCCCCGCAGAGGAGAGGCTCCGAAGGAGTGACACCGGAGACTGCTGGGAGAGGGGCAGGGACAGGACCCTAGCTTCCGCAACCTCCAAGATTTCCTGCCAGGTCTCAGTCCGAGCGAGGAGGACCCGAGGTCCCAGCTTTCCATTTGAGGGTCTCGGCCACTGGGGTGGCGGACCCTGGGGATATCGCCTCCACCGGAGATTTGGAAGAAAGCCCCCAGCAGCCAGAGCTGGCTCCACACCTCAAATCGGACCCAAGACAAATGTGAGGTGTCAGGGCATTGAGCTTGCCCCTAGGCTTAGGAGCGCGCAGACCGGAGAAACTGGGGGCGGTGTTACAGAGTAGGGGGCGGGGCCATAGGAGGCCGGGGCGGAGCCAGGCCGCCGGGGCGGAGGCGGGGCGGGGCCTTAGCGTCCAGGGGCTAAACCAGATCCCGGCAGGCTTTGGGGCAGGGCCAGCGCTGAGGGGCGGGTCCAGAGAGGCCCGGAGCACGCCGGTTGCCGCGCCGCGAAGCGGCGAGAAGGAATAGGACGCCGAGCCCCAAAGAGGCCTGAGGACAAAGCTTCAGGGCCGAAGGAGGAGTCGAGGCCTGAGGTCTACACGGGGTTGTGGGCGGGTGCTGGGCGGGGCCTGTGCGGCTGGGCAGGGCCGCGGCGCAGAGGGAGAGGCGGGGCCAACCCTTGCAGGCCTGGGCGGGCCCCGGCGCCGGGGGCGGGGCCGGAGGCGCGGCGCCAGTGACCAGCAGGACCCGCCCCTCCCGGCCCGCCCTCCCGGAGCGCCCGGGTCCTGGCCTCCCGGTTCGCTGTGTGCTGCCCGCAGGTTCCATTGAGAAAAGCTGAGCGGCGGCGGCGGCGGCGGCGTCTGCGCGGGAGCCGAGAACCGGCAGCAGCCCGCCGCCCGCCGCCCCGGCGGTCCGCGCGCTTGCAGTGCCGGGGCCGAGCCTCCGGCTTCCGCAGCGGCTCCGAGCCGGCCGCGGCGGGCTGGGGGCGCGGGCCGGGGCAGCTGCGGAGCGCGGGGGCCGAGGGCATGAGCCGTCCCGTGGCTCCGCTGCGCCCCCGCCGCCCGCCGCCGCCCGCCAGGGGCTAGAGGCGGCCGCCGGGAGGGCACGCGGCGCCGGAGACATGTCCAGAAGGAAACAGAGCAATCCCCGGCAGATTAAGCGTGAGTCAAACTTTGCCCGCTCGCCCGCCCGCCGTCCCCGACCCCCGCCGTCCCCCACCCGCCCCCCACCCGCCCCGCTCTGTCCGCTCCGCCGGCGACCTTCACCCCGCGCCGCGCCCCCCGCGCTCTGTGCCAAGCGCGCCGCAATCTAATCTCCGCGGCGGGCTGGGCCCCCGCGTCTCGGCTCGGCACCGGGGGTCTGGCCGGACGGGAGGGGTGTCCGCCCAAACAGTCGGGATCCGAGTGGCGGGGGGCGCGCCCACCTCGTGGCGGACCCCTCCCCCACACCCCCGAGATGGTGCGGCGATAAGGCGGCCCCGATCTGGGCTCAGATAAAGTTTAAAATATTCCATTCTGCAAGTCCCATCCTGATAAGATCGCTCTGTCGGGACGGGCTGAAATTGTGATCTTATCTCTCGCAGTTGACTCTCCCAGGCTTTGTATCTAGAGGGAGAAAGAGAGAGACCTGGGAGGAAGAGGGGACACCCGAGGCCGCGTGGAAATGCATGGTCCAGTGGCGGGGGCGCGCTGCCACCCACTGCCACTCCCGCCGGCCAGAGAGCCACGTGGCTTGCGGGGTTGTGGGGACAGGAGCGTGCAGCTACTCAGACCCCTGTGTCCTGTAGCCCTGGTATCCAACTCCAGCCTTCCATGCCTGGAGACAGCCTCTTGGAGGTCCGACCCGGTCAAGGCCGCACCGGCCGCAGAAGGCGCGCTCAGATGCCTGCAGGAACACCCACCACCCCTCCAAGTCAAAAAAAGAGACTCTTTCCTCCCTCCCCACCCCCGCCAGGGTGCCCCCGCGCGCGTCCAAGTTTCTCTCCCCTCCGCCCTGAGGGCCCCTCCCCGGGGGTCTCGGTGGCCACTGAGTTCACACGGCTGATGCCCCGGCGGTGAGAGCGCCCCGCACTCCCGGGGGCCACGCGGCTGCGGGAAGAGCCACAGAGCCAGTGCACAGGAAGCGCGGCTCCCCGCCCCGCGCCAGTAATAACTTGGAGCTTCGGCATCCAGGGCGGAGGCGCGGGACTTCCTCCGGGGGTCGCATCTCCCAGGCCAGACAGACGGGCAGGGGAGTCGGGGCCAGTCCGCTGCCCAGCCCCAGGCAGTGGGCACTGCCACTTCTGTCCGCCTGACCACTGCTACCAGAGCCTACTGCGCGAACTCCTGGGGGAGTGTCTACTACTCCCGAGGTTGGGGGTGGAGGGGGACGCCAGGAGGAATCCGGATTCCCGTAACCCGACTCCCTCCATGTGCAAGCGGGACCTATTTTCAGAAAGTCGCCTTCTCTCAAGTCAACTCAAGTATTAAAACCACCCACAGGTCCCGATCTGCATGCTGCGTTCTCTGGTTTCTTCCTCCCCTCCTCCCTCGCGCGCGCTACCGATCGGTCTGTTCTCGTGTGTGCGTATGTGTATGTGTTTCAGCGCGATGAGAAATGCAGATAGCGCGGGCAGGGAGATCGCAGGTTGGGAGCCGATCGCCAGTGCCGATAAGGCCCAGAGCGGGGCGAGCGCCCTGGCCAGCTGGGTCGGCCGAGCAGCGCGCTTTAGGGACGGGGACTGCGGCTCGCACACGGGTGAGCCCCCGCTGCCCGCCCTCGATGCTCCGTAGACTCAGGCAGAGGTGGGGGCCGGGCCTGGGAGGCGGGGCCGGGCACTCTCCCCGCAGCCCGCGGCCCCGGGAGCCGCCTCCTCCCCGTGGCAGATCTCCGCGCGTTAAGATGCGAGCGCTGATTGTCACCAAGCGGCGGCGCCCGCCCGCCTGTCCTCGGCCCGCGGCTGTGCGTGCAGCCCTCGCAGCTGTGCGCCCGCCGCACCGGCCTCACCTGCAGCCAGGCCGCGGGCAGGCTGAGCTCGTGGGGCCACCGTCCCCCGCTCCCTCCCCAAAGCCGGGGCGCAGCTGCCCGCGCCTCTGTGTGCCTTTTGTTCCGCGCAGAGATAGATGTGCCGCGCTGATAAGGCGAGTAACCGATGGCGGCGGCGATAGGCGCTTCCATTTATTAACTTCAAACGTGGGAGCGGGGGAGGGCGAGGCGGGAGGGAGCGCGGCCTTGGCCGGCCAGATGGCTGACACGATAGGCTCGGCTGAGCCGGCGGGGAGCGCTGGGCAGAACGAGGCCCGGGACCCCTGGTCCCCCCACCCCTCTGAGCTTTCCTCCCGCCCGGGTCGATGTGAGCTCAGATAAACGCCGGGGCCGGTCGGCCGGATGGTGATCGCCAAGAACGATAAGAGTCCTTATCTATGGTCACCAGGCCCCGCCGGTTCAAGGCAACAACAGAGAGGAGGGGGTGTTTCGCCTGGGCGAGCGGGGGCCTCGGACGTGGGCAGGGGTAGAAGCCGTGGGCCTGTGTCCTCGCCAGGGCTGGTCTGTCTGGGCGAGTTTTCATCCCAAACACACTTAATTGCCAAGAAGTTATTCTCCCCCTGCGGGTGGTACAGTCCGTCAAAATGAAAGGAAAGTGACTGTGTCGGCCAGGAGGGGGGAGGATACCCCGCCCCTGATTTCTATTAGATGGTGTGAGACAGCCAGAGGTGGGGTTGGCACCTCCAGCAGGAGATAGGGTGTTTTTCCTCTTGAATCATGTTAGGGTTGGTGTGGTTCCTGGCAAGTGTGAGGTGTAACCTGCTTGGAGTTTACTTGAAAACACACACACACACACACACACACACACACACACACACACACACCGTGAGTTCTATTGCCCAGGCTGAGTTTTGCCCAGGGGACCCAGTATGCTGGTTTCTTTTTTAGCGTGCCCCCCAAATTAGGAGAGAAGGTTTGTGTACATGTGTACATCTGTCTTGATTCACTCAGAACGTCTTTATTGAGCACTTGCTGTATGTAAGCACTGGGTCACACCACACTGGGGAGATGGGAGTGGGTGAGACTGGGAGCAGTGTGGGAAGTCAAGACAAGGTAAGGGGTAGAGTAGAGAACAGATGGGTAGTCAGGGACACTTTCTGGAATGGGGGTTAGGAAGAGGCTTGCCATGGGTTGCCAGGGACAGGGGACAGTCCTCACTTTCCAACTCTGAAAAATGGGGTGACGATTCCTGACTGTTGAGGGGAATAAAGGGCTGAGAGTCACGAGATTCTAGGGGAGGGATGGCCTGTGTGAGGAGGCAAGAATGAGGTGTGTGTGTGGGGGGGGGGGTGCACTGGGCCTCGATTTCCCTTTCTGAAAAAATGCAGATAGGAGTGAACCCCCAGGTCAGATGGGCTGTCCAGGGGCCACAGAGTCGCTTCATAGTGGGAAAGCCCTTGGGGACCATGGATCCAGATACAGGGTGAAAGCCGAGGGCAGCCAAGGAAGACACTTCCAGAAGAGGCTGGGCTTTGCCTGGCTGGACAGCCCCCACCAGTCCCAGCCCCAACAGCGACTCCAGCTCCGTCACAGAGGATGGTGTTTTTCACACATTCTCGGAGTTTGATTAAACAAATTATTGGTGGCCACAGGATGACTCATTTACTCCGAGCTTCAAAGTCACCCGCCTGCTCTCCGAAGCAGCCTGACGCCCACCAGATGGACTGGCTATGCCTTCTGGCGAGGGCCAGTTCCAGGAGAGCCTGGGCTAGGCCCCAGAAGGAAGCGAGGTGGTCTCTGTGTGAGCTTTTATGAATGTAAGCGCAGTTATCTGTACAGAGCCATGCACACTTTCTTTCCATGTGTGGGAGGCACCTGGAGTCTGCCTGGCTCCCAGGGGCCACCTTGAAATGCTGCTGTGGTGGCAGAGAAGCTGGAAAAGAGGGACCGGTGGCAACCTCGCTGCCCCTGACTTGAGCCACCGTTGGCAGGTCACCTGACCTTCCACAGCCTCTGAAAAACAGGTGTGACTGTGCCTGCTGCCAGAGGTTGACAGGCACTAAGTTCTGCCTTCAGCTGGCTTTGGTCCCCTCCCAAGCAACCCTGGAAGCATGGGGATGGAGCTATAGTGAGTAAAGGGGACAGAGGATTTAGAGACCCGGAAGCATTTGCTCACAGTGCCTGCCCCTGAACCTGGACTTGAACAGAGCTCTCGTGCACCTGAGAACTCAGCCTCTCACTCCTGATGGTGGGACTTCACCCAGCTCTGACTGTTCTTGGTTTTCCTTTATTCTTGGGCCTCAGGAAACATAGTCAGCTCATTTGATAAATAATAATAATAATAATAATAATAATAACAACAACAACAACATAAATAATAGCTAATCCAGAGTTTACTCTGTGCCACACTACATATAAACTTAAAGCAGGTCCTGTTCGTATTGCCATTTATATATAAAAAACTGAATCACAAAGAGGAAAAGTTTCTCACCCAAGAAAGTGGCAGAGCGAGAATTGAAATACAGGCAGCGTGGCCGCTCACTCTGAACCAGTATGTCTGAACATCACGATGCTTTCTTGTAGTTCTCTCTTCTCTACCTGACTCTGGGCTTCTCAGGCCTCAATCTCCACACCTGTAGAATGGGCCTCTGGGAGCAGTGACACTGGGGTCTTTCCCAGCCCTGCCCTTGCTGCATCTCCCATGGCCTCCTTCCTGAGCCATTCCTGTGCAGGAGTGGTCTCCGGGGAGACTTTACCCAGCCCTACCCGGGGGCCTGAGCCTGGCCTAGTCCCGGCTGCCCAGCCAGCCCCTCCCCGGAGGTCACCGGGAGCCCAGCATGGCACCAGCACCGCCAGCAATTTAAATGGGTCAGTTGGGGAAGAAAGGAGGAGGGAATGCGATGCCATTAATTGTACCCCTTATCTCCTGTTTCTATGCCAACCAGACGTTCCTGGGGCTTGACGGGCTCGTGAATAATACTCCCGGCCAGCCTATCTGCCATCGACAGGCCTCCTCCTGGAGGCAGCTGTTGCCTCGCCGATTGGTATCACCTACCTCATAGACCCAGGCCTGGGCCCTCACATAGGATGGCCGAGCCACACTCGGGCACCTGGCTGGGCTCCTGTCCACTCGGCCACCATACCGCTGGATCTCCCTGGACCTGTCCTTGGCTACTGTCCCCATTTCACAGAGGGG